TCCCCCACCCCCTCCCACTACCCTCCATCTGCGATAGTGGGCGTGTCCTAACAATGTATACGCAACTGCGTGTCTGCATATCTGCGCCTAACAAATGTGGTACTACGCACGACTGAAATTTTACGTTTATAATCGTAGCAACAGACCTCAGATGAGCCCAGACGCTCTGCGGCTCTTGTTGTCTATTATGGCTCTCACAACGAATAGGTGGTCAGTGGTGCTGTACCCTTTCTTTCGCCCACACAGGCTCTGACTTGTTTTGAGGATCTTCTTCTGATTTAAGATCCATTTTTCAATAAATTTACTTAGGATATCAGGGGTAGACATTAACTTTTGAACAAGGGAGTCCAATGGACTCCCTACCCTCAAAAAGAGGGAGTCCGCAGCAAAGTTAGGGAGTCCGCAGTCTGAGGTTCAAAATTAAAGATATTAGCAATAACGCGTGTGCTTATTTTTTCTCAAATGCTCAAATTTTCTTTGGACGTTAGCTGAACAAATACAGTAATTCTGCGAGGCCGTGCTCCGGAACGAACTAGTTAGTAGTTAGTATGGCAGACTTTTCAGGGAGTCACACGGACTCCTACATATGTCAAATCAGGAAGTCCGACAGTAAATCAGGGAGTATTTGACTCCGGACTCCCGTTTATTTCGCACCCTGTGATATCAGTGAGAAAAATACCTCTGCTATTTCTTAAGTCATGAGGAGATCCCTTCCCTTTATATATTGTCTTAATTACCATATCAACCCATTCGTGTGGAGTTTCATTATTTTCTAGTAGGGCATTTATCAATAAAACGTGCTACTTTTTTTAGGTCACTGCCAGCGTTAATTATTAGTTCATAAGCAATTCCTTGTCTGTCTATAGCTTTTTTCTATTGTAGAGATTTTACTACTTCCTCCAGTTCCTTACTGTCAGTCCCTTTTTCCAGAATTTATTGATTAATGTATTTTATCTTCTTGAACATGGATTCAATTCTGTTTATAGTAAGGCTTTTTTATATGATTATTGCTGTCTTTAAAATCTCAAATCAATGTGTACATCTAATAATAATAAAAATGTGACGATGTAATATTCTTTTGCAATAAGCATAATAATATAATACTATCATATTCTACACCATCAGTGACTACTGTTTCAGTCTTAATTTGCACCCTGTGGAAGGCCGAAGAAGTTTATTTAATCAGTCTACGCGCTATTTGCTTCCCAATCGTGCACATTTTACATTTACACACTTTCTTTGATATCTTGTAATTTTTCAAGTAATATTTAAAATTAAATAAAAGCGTTTTTAATTTTGATAAACCTTGTCAATAAGTCATGTGCTTGACGTAATGGGCGTCGAAACCAGGGCGCAGCCCGATGATTGGCACGCAGTGCCACGCTTAGACAGGCATCGCCCTCCGCCCCTCATCACGCAAGTTACATCTAATGTATTTCGATGTGCGAATCGCCGATCTAACGTTCTGCCGCATCAATCTACTCGCGAACTGTCTTAATCGATAGCTAGTGGCTTGTTAACAAAAATCACGTGCTATTTAGCATGCTGCGCCCTTCAATTTCCTCATAAATCTGTATTTTAGTGAGACCGTAAGCCCCGCCCATTATTCCTTATACGGCGTGCACGGCAGCTAGCTTCGCTCTGAGCCGAGGGCTTATCCGTTATCTGCCGATTTTCCAGACACATCGTCGCCAGCGCAGTACGAACGTGTGGGTTACATAAGGTCAACGCGTTAACGCCTAGACGGACTTGCGGCCCCGGTTTTTGCGCGCAGCGCACAGCTCGCGGCGAAGCCGCGCCCCAACAGCGAACAACTGCTGCGGCACTTTTTTGTCGCACGTAGACAGATACCTTAGACAGGTGTTGAAAACGACTCCAGCGAAACTGTGGCCGCATCCACCGACATTTGCTGATGGACCGGGCAGGCAGGCGGGCATCTCAAACGCGCCTAAACTTTTTCTTTGGGGGTGGCGCGCCTCATGGCTAAGACGTAGTGACTCCTACAAGAAAGCTCAAAGATGCTCGTCATCAGGCGATGACGCGCGTCGCTCATCTTGGCTGGGGTACGCGCGATGACGTGCGCTTATGGCGAGTCATACGTTATGTCTATCACAGAGCTTTTAACCGGAAGTCTGGTACGGCGCGCTCCACGGGGGCGGGGGGCGCGAGGTCGCTAGTATGCTTATCTCTCAAAAGCGGCCCGAGAGATTGCGAAAAATTTGGTGCAGTGGGGGTTTCATCTCCTGATACCTGGAACCATGCCGAACATTTTCCAATAGGTTTCATGGGGTTTCCTTTCCAGCTAATCTATCTAAATAATGAAGGCCTGGGTGGGGGCAGTTAGGGGCGTCTGGTCCACCAGCGGCTGCCCGCCAGACTTACATTTCCTTACATGGGTATGTACACGAATCATTGCTATATGCATGAAAATTGGTTTCCTTTCCAGCTAGGCTGACCCCTCTGGGCTCCCGGTCTATAGGCTCCCCCAGCTTTCTGTAGC